CTCTCCTTCCTCGCTGCGCGCTGGGCTCCCGGGCCGCCCCCTCCTCCCTCCCTCCCCTCTGCCCCCCTCCTCCCCCCCCCCGGGGGGGCGAGGGGCTGCTCCCCAGGACCAGGAGGGGCGGGAGAAGAGTGAGGTGGGCGTGAGGGGACTGGACAGATGCCGGGTCTGCAAGGTGCAGAGAAATGGGGAGAGACGCTGGCGAAGCACGTCGGAGGCGGGGCGCCGTGGAGAGGACGGACACTTTGCTGCCCGCGGAAGGAAACCTGGTGGGACTAGGCATCAACGAAGAGACAGTCACTAAGAGCTCAAGAGTCAGCGACATGGGAAGAGCCAGGTCACCAAAAATGCGGTTCTTAGAAAGAGAAGATGCCCTTAGTCCTGGGCTCCGGACCCCAGGGGCTGCGCGCTGGCCTCCAGAGAGGCCACCTCGGGTCTTCTCCCGCCAGGCTCCAGGCAGCTCCAGGCCAGGGTGGAGGGGGCCTGTCCGCCTGCTAGGGATTCTCCAGTGCGCTTGCTTTCCAGGGACCCGTCTCAGCCTCAGAAACGTGTTGGAGAACCTCAGACCACGGTCGCCTCTGAAATCCACTCAGATGCGGGAAGCACAGGGAGAGGGTCGTCGACCCCGCCCGAGAGAGATTTACGTTTGATTTTGAATTGCACTTGGTATAGTCTACAGGGGCATGTTTGGGTTTGCAAACAACTGGGAGGGAAGAAGCAAAGGAGATCGCAGAACCCAAATTCAGGACCTTTACTCCTTGCTGCCCCCCTCCAGGACCGAGGAAGCACTGGGACCAGAGGGATCTTTGATTAGGAATCCGAGGGGAGGGTGTTCTGTTCCACAAAACTACTTACATTGTAAAAGTTGCTGCATTAAGGGGCACTCATGTAAAATGTGTATATTTAATCTTAATTGACCCCCCCCAATAAAAAATTGCGCATTCCAAAACGGTGGCTCTTTTCCCACCAAACTCTTAGGAACTCTGCTGTTGCCAGAGTAATGAGACAGAATGAGAAGCTCCTGCGTGCCTCTGGTTTTATTAAAGTGTCCCGGCATAATTTTCCTTGTTCCCCAAATTAAACCAAAGTGGGAAGAGATAGGTCGGTCAGGGGCTAGGGCGCCCACCGCCCGTCAGTGGCCAGGGACTGCACCGGGGCCACCGCTGCAGGGACGAGGCCGCAGCCGCGGGCCACAGCGCCCCCTCGCCGCCCGCCTGCACGACTCTTGAGCCCGCGTCGTTCCCTGACCTCCCCCGCGCTCGAGAGCCCAGGACGGACCGTGTCTGGGAGGCGCCGTGGCCGGTGCAGCCAGCTTCCCGGAGAGAGCACCTCGGGCCCGAGCCCGCGTTCCGGGCATCTCTCCGCGCTCGGCCTCGCGGGCAGCCCCGGCTCGTCGAAAGGGGCATGTCCACACCGACTGGTTCTGAATGCGTGGGCCACTGTGACGACAAGAAACAAAACATGCGGCAGTGTTCGCTTATGGTCACAAAGGCACGCACGGGAAGAGGGGGAGATGCAGGGTCAGCCTGGAACTGAGCGTCGCCCCTGTAACCGTCACAAAGCGGTAGCGATTTCACAGCAGCTCTCGGGTTTTCCTGCGCGCCCGCCCGCTCTCCGCCGAGCCGGAGCTCGGACGGACAGCGAGAGCCAGGGCGGCCAAGGGCGCAGCCGAGGTCCGGGCGGAACGGCTCGCCTGGGCACTCCGCGCGGGGGCTGGGCGTCCCGGGCCGCAGTCCCAGGGAGGCGGCGGTGGGGCGCGCGTCGCTGCGGCTCTCTCCCCGCGCGGCCTGCGCTCTCCGCGGTCACGGGAGACGGAGCTCCAGGAAGCCAGGCCACCCTCGCAGGCGGCCGCGTGCGAGCCACCGCGTCGGGCCTCCACGCTTGCAGCCTGTCCTTCCCACTGACCGATTTCAGAAGAAGGCCAAGCCAACTTGAATCTAAGAAAAGGAAAAGTGATTTTAAAAAATCAGGGCGCTTTAAAGTGAAACGGAGTTTATATATTCCAATAACAATGCAGAGCGTAAGTTTTAATGTCTCTGCGTAGGCATTTTAATCTGCTACAGTCACTACCAATAAAAACCGCATGTAGTGCGATTCGACTGTTTAATAGCGCAAGGTAGACGGTTTTTATTAGTAGCAGGCAACAGTATGGAAAATTTAGATTTCAGTGGAGGAGTGTAATTGCTGGGAGAAAATACACTCGAGGAAGAGGCTGTCTTTAGACTCAGCAGCAGAAGCTAAAGAGGGGAAGAGACCATGCGTGTGCCCAGGCACCCAGGGCGACCGGCCCCTCCAACGCCACATGAGCTTGTCTGCTTATATACTTAATTGATGTCAAAATCGAGTGTATCCGGAGCATACGCTCCTGCTCCAAACTGGGGATGTTTTTGTAATAATTCAATGTTTTCTTTTCTGCCCCTGGCAGAGATCAGGCCCAAGGGGTGGGGGAGGAGAGAGAGAGGGGAATGGGGCCAGCCCCAAATGCTAATGAAACACAGCAGGAACTGGCCTTTAGAAATGGAAATACTGCAGGCCAATCACCCTTGGAGATAAAAATTAGACCTGATTTTTTTCACTTAAACTATCTAATTGGAAGCGAACCCAAAGGCCCGAGATCTGATCTACGCTGTTTATGTTTGTTTGTCATTCAACGTGTGTGACTCTCATTTGAGGCCTCCACCTGGCCCAATCCTTTCCCGGGAAGACCGGAAATATCATGGATCCTGTAGGTGCCATGCTCCAGGGCACTGCTGGAGTACCCCCCCCCCCCAACACACACACTTTTCTCTTTCCTTTTTGACTCTACAGTGTTCGGTGTAGAGTGTCTGCCCTGCACTGACTTGGGACAGCTGGACTGGGGTGGCAGCCTGGTTGGACCTGCTGGGCTAGGTCCTCCCAGTGGGCCAGTGTGGGGGAAGTGATCTGTTTGGGGGTGCTGTGGACGTTGAAGTGTAGAGGGTACAGAGACTGGTTTTTAGGAAGGAGGGAACACTGGGGAGGAGGGGTGGGAAGACGGGTGGGGGCTGGTCCTAATGGGAACCAACTAGGAGTCATAGGCCCCCATGCAGGCCAAGGAGGATGGGTTCTTCCCAAACCCAAAACCTTGGTTTGCAACCGGTTCCCTAGGACCTAGAGAAAGACAAACACAGTTGCACTGTGTCTTGAAGGTTCTGCTTGTAAACAGGCCTGGGCTGGAGCTTCTGGATCCCCAGCTCCCAGCCTGGCCTGGCCAGCGGGCCATCCGGACCTCAAAAGAAGTCCCTAACAGGGCTGGCGCGGTAGGGTGCGGGGAGGCCTCGGGGACAGAGTGCTGCAGGCCTGGGCTCCCCCCGCAGCAATTTCACCTTCCAGGTAATCCACCCGAAGGGGCCTCGGAGAAAAAGGCACCTGTTGGGCCGCGGCCGCGCCCAGACTGCACAAGCCTGCAGGCCGTGGACCTCCTGAGCGCCCCCCATCGGCGACCACCCTCCCTCGTAACCAGGCACCCACGTCTTCCGGGGCCAGTGCGCAGGGATGGAGAGGGCTTGAGAAATGGAGGGTATTCTGGGGCTGGGGTCACTAAGCCTCTTGCCTCTGACCCGAGAGGCACCTCGGGAGCCGCGTTACCTGAGCCACCTGCGCTGCGGACGGCGCCCGAGCCGCAGCCGGTCTCTTTCTCCTTCCTTCCCGAGTGACCGCGAGGCTTCGCGTCCTGCCAGAGGCGGGCTGTCCGGTGACAATGCTTTACAACACTTGTCCGAAAGAGGCGTCAACTTATTAAAATAAAACCAAATAAAACCTTTCGGGGGTGGCGTCTTCAAGGGAGAAATACTGGCGGCGTGTGTCACAACATTCCCAATGCGCGAAGTCCTGCCACTCAGAGATCCGGGTCTCCACTACGGACTTCGGGCACAAAGCTCACCTCTGGGCCCTCCTGGCAGTTCCAGTGACGGACCCGGATCCGGGTCCCGCAGGGACGCGCCGGGCCGCGCGGGGCAAGCAACCAGGCTCGAGGCCACGGGGAGCCTCACACCGGAGAGAGAAGAGTCCACACAGGAAGGTGGAAGAGAGACCCGCGCACGCCCCCCCTCCCAGGACCTGGGCCGCGGGCGCTCCCATCCCGCCCTCCCTTCGCCCCCATCTCCCGGCCCGGAGCCTGGGTCACGCGCGCAGTCACCTGGGCGGGCCTCTTCGTGGCGCCGAGGGAACGTGGATCGTTCGTCCCCCAAGTGGGCCAGACAGGCCCGATTTCGGGCGGCCTCTGCCTAGTCCTTGCGGGCCGACCCGGGGCGGGCGGGGGGGCGCAGTGGCTTCAGGGGTTGGGGGTGAGATGAGGAAGGGGACTGGGCGGCGAGGGGGAGGTGGCCCGCGAGAGATGGGGTCGCCGGCCGGCGGGCTGGCAGGGGGCGCCGGGAGTACGTGCGGGGAGGGTGCGCGCCGGGGCGAGCCGTTCGGTCCGGCCAGGCAGCGGGGCCGCGGGCCGCGGGCTGGGGCTGCGCGGGAGGCGACTGCACCACAAAAGCCTGCGCGTCCCTCCCTCCTTCTCCCCCGCCCTCCCGCCTCCTCCTCCTCCGCCCTCTCCTCCCCTCCCCGCCCCTCCCCCGGCCGCGGCCCGGCAGCGGGAGCGGGCGGAGCGGGCGGAGCAGGGGAGGGGGCGGGCGCCCGAATATGCAGATGAGCGCGTGACGGACAGCTTCGCGTTCCAATGTCCCTCGGAAACTCGAGCGCTCCTTCCTCAACTCCTCACTCCCGACTCCAGACTCCCCCAAACCCCGACCGCCGGCCTGGCGCGCGGCTGCGCCCATCGGCTCCGCGCCGCCGCCGCCGCCGCCGCCGCGCCGCCGCCCCCGCCGCCCCGCCGCTCCCCCGGCCCGCGGGCCCCGGGCTAGTGCGCCGGCCGGCCTGCCTCGGCCCGGGGCCCCCGCGCCCGCCGCCGCGCCGCGCCCCGGCCGGGCGTGGATGGAGGGCGCCGCGCGCCTCGCCCGCTGCTCGGCGTGACGCGGGCCCACTGCCCCGCGCCCACCATGTCCTACCCGCAGGGCTACCTGTACCAGGCGCCCGGCTCGCTGGCGCTCTACTCGTGCCCGGCGTACGGCGCGTCGGCGCTGGCGGCGCCGCGCAGCGAGGAGCTGGCTCGCTCGGCGTCGGGCTCGGCGTTCAGCCCGTACCCGGGCTCCGCGGCCTTCACGGCGCAGGCGGCCACCGGCTTCGGCAGCCCGCTGCAGTACTCGGCCGACGCCGCCGCCGCCGCCGCCGGCTTCCCGTCCTACATGGTAACCGCGCGCGGCCGGGCGGGAGAGGACGCGGGACGCCCGGGCGCCGGGGCCGCGATCGGGGCGCGAGGGCGCGGGGAAAGTGCCGCGGGCGGTGGCTCCGGAGGCTCGGACTCGGGCGGCCGCGCGGCGGGCGGGACGGGAGGCCGGAGTGAGAGGCGGCGCGGCCCGCTGGCGACGTCCCCCAGACCGGAGCCCCGCGCCGCTTCCCCTTGGCTCTCGTGGTGATGTTCCCAAAGAGCCTGAAAAGTGCGAGCCCGCCAGGGTCGGGGATCTGTGCCGGGTTGCCCTTCGTTCGCGCGCCGGAGCCCGGCGAAGGGTGCAGAGCGGGCCGGGGACTCGCTTCTCTCGGCTCGGGGAGCGAAGTGGGGCTCGGCGCCCCTGGGGCCTCCGGGACGACTGCCGGGCGCTTCGGGGTCACTCGCGGGGCTTGGGGGTCACCGGGTTGGGGGAGGGAGCGGAGTACCCGGCGGCAGCTCGGAGGCCCCGCCAGGCGCGCCGCGATCTCGGCCTTAATCTGTCCCATAGACCGCCCTTCGAGAAACGTGTCGGCGGGCGTGCGGCAGCCCTGGTTGCCGCTTCGGTCCCGGGCGTACGGAGAGCCGCCCCTGCTTCCGCGACCTGGCGTCGGCCCGCTCGCCTCGGGTTCCGCAGCTGGGCCCGGCCCGGGTGGCTGTGACGCCCGTTTCGGGCGATGGAGGCCGTTAGGGGGTGGGGGGGTGGTTGTCGCCACTGCCCGCCCTCGGTGGAATTCCGAGGCAGGGACAGCGGAGCTGGGGCCTCCGCGGAGGCTGCAAATGTCTCGAATTTAAACGTTAAAGGCTGAATTAAAATGCTAATTGCCGCGTATTTGAAGAATTCGAAACGGTGACTGGCTTCTGAGTTGCAAATTGGATTTGCGGAGCTTTAGAGCGGTGAATGGCGGAGCGGGGGCTCGGAGTGGCTTTTTAACCATATAAGGGCGGGGAAGGGGGAGTAGGGGGAGCCAGCCAGAGAAATTTAGATATCAAGAAAGTACCTGTGGGTCTGTGAGCGCGCTGTTTGCGTACATCTGCGCCCGCAGCTCAGGGACATTTGGGAGGAAGAGATGTCATTTTAGGAAAGTGCAATAGTTCAAAAACTCGAGATTGGAACTGCAGCGTTTTCCTGATCAGCAGCTTGTCGTACTTTACCCGCTGCGGTTTTTTTCTGCTCATTTGCCGCGGGAAATAAGGCTCCAGCGCAGGACTCACCCTGGGCAAGGCGGCATCGGGAGGGCGGAGGGGTCACCTTTGGGCTGAGGAGGGCCAGGGCCCCGCACACCCCACTCACCAGACTCTTGTTGGTTCCAGGGCGCACCGTATGACGCCCACACGACCGGGATGACAGGCGCCATCAGCTACCACCCGTATGGCAGCGCGGCCTACCCGTACCAGCTCAACGACCCAGCCTACCGCAAGAACGCCACGCGGGACGCCACGGCCACGCTCAAGGCCTGGCTCAACGAGCACCGCAAGAACCCATACCCCACCAAGGGCGAGAAGATCATGCTGGCCATCATCACCAAGATGACGCTCACGCAGGTGTCCACCTGGTTCGCCAACGCGCGCCGCCGCCTCAAGAAGGAGAACAAGATGACATGGGCCCCGAGAAACAAAAGCGAGGATGAGGATGAGGACGAGGGTGACGCTGCGAGGAGCAAGGGGGAGAGTCCAGACAAGGCGCAGGAGGGCACGGAGACATCAGCGGAGGATGAAGGTGAGCAGGGCCGCGGGGGCGCGAGGTCAGGGGGAGCTTTCTTCCCAGACCGGGGCAGAGTCGAGGTCGGGGAGGATGCCCCCACCACCACCCAGATGCGCGTGGGGCCCATCTAGTCCCGGGGCATTTCCTGGGGAGGCTCTGCTCCCCCTAGGACGTGCCAGGCTGGGGTCGGGGTGGGAGATCACGTGGGGCGAGCCCCCCCCCCCCCCCCCCCCCCGGGGCCTGGGCGGTCACCGAGTCCCACAGCCCTGCCCGCGCCCCTGCAGGGATCAGCCTGCACGTCGACTCGCTCACGGATCACTCGTGCTCAGCCGAGTCGGATGGGGAAAAGCTGCCTTGTCGGGCCGTGGACCCCCTGTGCGAGTCGGGGTCCGAGTGCAAGGATAAGTACGACGACCTGGACGACGACGATGAGGACGACGAGGAGGGCGAGCGGGACCTGGCGCCACCCAAGCCCGTGACCTCGTCGCCGCTCACTGGCGTGGAGGCGCCGCTGCTGAGCCCCCCGCCCGAGGCCGCGCCCCGCGGTGGCGGCGGCGGCAAGATGCCCCTGGGCAGCCGGACGTCGCCGGGCGCGCCGCAGCCCGCCAGCAAGCCCAAGCTGTGGTCTCTGGCCGAGATCGCCACGTCGGACCTCAAGCAGCCAAGCCTGGGCCCGGGCTGCGCGCCGCCGGGGTTGCCTGCGGCCGCCGCGCCCGCCTCCTCCGGGGCGCCGCCGGGCGGCTCACCCTACCCCGCCTCGCCGCTGCTCGGCCGCCACCTCTACTACACGTCGCCCTTCTACGGCAACTACACAAACTACGGGAACTTGAACGCCGCGCTGCAGGGCCAGGGGCTCCTGCGGTACAACTCGGCGGCCGCGGCCCCGGGAGAGGCGCTGCACTCCGCGCCCAAGGCGGCCAGCGACGCGGGCAAGGCGGGCGCGCACCCGCTGGAGCCCCACTACCGGCCCCCGGGCGGCGGCTACGAGCCCAAGAAAGGTAGGCGGCCCGCGGCCCTCGGGGCCTCCGGGGAGGGAGGGCCAGCGGGGCCCGAGAGAGCCTGGGTCAGGGACCAGGGAGATCCTTGGGGCTGGCACGGGGAGCCTTTGTTGCTATAGGAGAGAAGGGAGAAGCTAGAGTGCGCCCCTCCGACCAGAAGTTAGGGGAAGTGAAGGGGGCGGTGGCATGGAAAAGGGGAGGAGAGGGCACCAGCTACCCTGGCCTTGCAGTAAGGCTTAGCCCTTCCATACTTGCATTTTTATTTAACTTGCTATTATCATTATGATTAGTAGTAGTATGATTGATCTGTTTCCGCAAAAAAAAAAAAAAAAAAAAAAAACAACTTGTCAAGAAATGCAGATTACAGCATGTCTCCCAGTTGATAGAGCTGAAGCTTTGGTGTGTTCTGTTAGGAGAGTCTCAGCCGACTCTTCTCTCCTGCTTTTGGTCGGAAGGAAACAAAACGTCCCAGTAACTCTGAGAGGCGCTCATTCCTCCAAATCCAAGACCAGAGTCTTTGCGGCTCCCCAGGCCCTCTCCCTGTCTCCTCCCCTGCCTCGCTCCTGGTTCAGGCTGGAGTTCCTAAGACCTGCAGGAGCTCCAGGAGGCAAGAAAAGAAAATGAGAACAGGAAATGTGTCCCAAATCTGTCTCAGACAGTGGCCGCTCAGACAGTTTCCCTAGACTGATTTGTGCGTTCAGGGAGCGAGCGTGCGTGGGCGCGCGGGCTGGTGGGTGCGCAGCTGTCTGGGAGACAGATGGCTCCGGGGTCAGGTTCTGACTAACTGCCCCCTCCCCTGACAGATGCCAGTGAGGGCTGCACCGTGGTTGGTGGGGGCGTCCAGCCCTACCTATAGAAGGCCCGTGGGCAGCATGCAAGTAAGTGGGCACGCGGGGGGCGCTTACAGCTTTGCCCTGTAAACCTGCTTAATGTCTGTTTCTTGCTTCTTGTCATGGAGTCCGATGACAGAGCTTTGCCATGTTTTTCCGTCTTTTTAAAATTTCCCTTTAAGTGGGAAAGGAGCTGTTCTGTGTTATTCGAGTCCCTCTTTTTCCACTCAAGCTCTGCTACGAAGAGTCACCCCTTTATTGGGAACGCCTATATTGTACCACTGCTGTTGTTTTCTCTTTGAAAAATAGATCATTAAAATATGGGTATTTGTATGCAGTTTGGAACCATTTTTTACTACACTAGACTTGTCATAGACACCGGCTTTGACGAGCTAGTGCTGCTGAAGCCTGGGGCGTCAGGACCCTTTAGAGGTGACGTTTGCAGAGTAAACCGAAGAGAGCCGGAAGAAGCACTAGCCGTTTATCAGGCCTGCCCCCGTGTCCAGATGGACTAGATAGGACCCCGCCGTTCGCCGGGCTTACAGCAATATCTCAAAAAATCCCTACTTTACAACTAGGCAAAATTACTAATCACAGATCTTGAAGATGTTGGGGAAGAGGCGACATCATTTCAGATTGACTCGTTTTTATAATGCAATGAGTTGGTGTGCAGCTGAAGGATTTGGGATGATTTGGTTTTTTCCTTGGTCCACAGGTAGGTGTCACAATTGCTTTGGAAAAAAAAAAGTCAGCAGGCCATTCTCTCTCCCCACGTTCATAAATATACGATATAAAAACACATCTCTGAGCCCGGACCGCATCTCGTGCCACCATAAAGGAGAAGGACCCACAGACTCTAACGGAACAGACTCTTGTTGGACATAACCGTGAATTTGTTGGCATAGTATAGCTTCCCCAATGTACGTGTGACTTTTGAAAACAATCTTTTTTCTCAGGATATCTTGAATTGATCACTTCATTGCCACGGTATATATTCTATAGGTGTGATAGGATTTACTGTAAAATTTATTTGTAAAAGATGTACACAGTAGAAATAAAATGTGATTGAAGAACTTGAGTACTTAAGAAGTGAAAACAAATTTGATATTTATTTTTATAAGGATATAAAGCTTCTAGTAATTTATGCAAGTTGTATTGCAATGGAATCTAAACTTTTTGTAAATAAATTCTGCCCGGTTTTTATTTGAACATTGCTGGTTATACAATCTTTGTTGGTTGTTTAACAAGAATTCTTTACTAATTTATATCTTAAATTGTAAATAAAAACAGACTAGTCTATGACAATATGGTGTCTGGGGCTCGTTTTTCCTAGGAGAGTGATTTGGGTGTGGAGCCCCAGTTAATGGCAGCCCCTCCCCCCGAGGTGATCTGACCTCAGGCTTTTTAATGAAAATGTGTAAAATAATCTCTCCCTTCTCCTGCTCATTAAAAAAAGGAGAAAGGCAGATGGAAGAGAAATACATAGTAGGGCCATAACACCCAGTTTGAGATTATTTGTATGTGCAGGTATTGTAAGAAAATTAAGATTTTTGTGCTCTGAATAGGCAAATCACTTGTTCATGTCAATTTTTTTTAAACTTAACATCCTCACGCATTTTCAAGCTTAAACATCCTCATGTGTTATGGTCATTTTATATTTTATTTCTATGCTGGCTTTTTGAACCTTCTAGATCATGTAAGCTGGAGGACTGTGATAGCACGGGTGGTAGGGAGTCGCACCTCTGACCCACCATAAATTACTGGTGGGAGTAATTGTTTATTTTAAAGCCTGAATTATCTGCATTGGCAAAGATTATTCCGATTTAAGGGCCTTGACTCTCCCTTGCATATATTTCACATTGAACACAAGGTGAAAATCTGGGAGGAGAGATTTATTTTCCCTTTGGTGACTTTTACCCTTACCCTGGGGGAAAAGAAAAGTTTAAACAACCTTCGAGTATGGCCTGGTTATAGTGCTGCTTCGTACCTAATTACAGGACAAGTCTGGAATTTGTAGGCAAGTAGCGTATTCCCTTTGATGAGTATCATAAAAGCAGCAAACCTGTCATTTTAATTTTCAGCAAAATTATATGGATATCCATATAATATGATTTCAGAGAAGAAATGAACAATCATTTATTTCCTTTCCAAAGATAAATTGAGTGAATATAACTTACGGTTATAAAACAAGAATAATAGCTTCTTAGATTGCCCTTTAATCAATCATACACTTACTTTTCAAGAGGTTCATCTGTTTTATTCCGTGATTAATAATGCTGCTGCAAGAGCACATTACTGGATCCCAGCGGGGGACGTCCCGGATGCTTTTAGCTGCTTTGGAATGGTCAGTTGGGGTTCATTATGGGCTGATATTGAACAATTTATAAAATCTTGTCTACACACCTGCCAGCTCCGATCGGGCGACGCGTCTGAGGATGTGAAATTGCTGGACCAGTTGATATTGACAAACGGATCTCTCTCCAGTGGCTTTCTGTGCTGTCGAAATTAGTGGCCTCTTGCTGGGGTCTTGTTAGAAAGGGTATTTGAAAGTAATCTTAGGTACTTGAGGCAAAGCCAGGGGGCTGTTAACCGGGCCGGGGCAGTCCAGTGGGGAGGGACCAGGCCAGTGGGGAGGGGCGGTTGTGTCTTGTCTCCTGAGAGAAGGAGTAGATCCTGGTTTTGGTTTTCTGCTACTTCTCAAGCATTTTGTTGGTTTGGGCATATAGGCATTTGGAGGCTGGACGTAAAGCCAACCGGCGGGGTACAGGGCAATTCTGTTTTATTTTGTTTTCTCCTTCCTGCCTCCCCAAGTGAGGGACGGGGAGACTTTTGGAGCTGAGCTCTTCCTGGGCGAGGGTGAAGACCGTTCACACGGGAAACCGCGGCGGTCTGCGGCAGCGATTCTGGAAGAAAGCGAATGTGAGGTCTGCAAATGGAAAAGTGAGCTGTGAGCTCCATGGCTCGTTTTTGTTTCGGACGCGAAACCTTCATAGAATTTCCACGGAGACAGTAACGTTTCCCCTCCAGATAGCATTTCCAAGCGCAGTACAAAGGGATGAAGTAGTTTGCTTTTGTTAACATTAGCCCTATTTCCCAAGTCAGCAGGGACTACAGGGCACAGGGCAGCAATGTCTTGTTACATGTAACAATATAATTCGAGTTTTCGGAAGCCTCCCCTGCAACCGACGGAAGTGGATGATCTCTAACAGATTAAGCACTTCAGGAGCACACGGCCTAATCAGCGTGCAACAGTTCAGGCCGGGTCCCTCAGAGGACAGAGCGGGAGCGGAAACCCAGACAAAAACTGATCTTTGTGCATATGTGCAGAAATTGAAGCCTGGATAAAAGCTGCCTCCCTTTGGAACAGAAGATTGTTTTACCTGGACATGTGATCCGTCCCCAGCGCGCGCACGCCCACACCCGCCCGGCCCGCGAGGCGGTTCCCCGGACAGCCGGACGGCCGGACAGCCGGACAGCCGCACAGCCGCACCTTTCGGTGCCTGCAAGCTCCGAGCAGCGCGGGAGATTAGCTCAGGCTAAGGAGTCTTCTTTGATGTTTGTATGCCCAACAAATTATCAAAGATTTCCAGAATTTACTCGCCCTGCCTCCTGCCCTGAATTTCATTCTGGAGAACTGGGTTTTGAATGCGCGCTAAGAACATAAAACCTGCAGGAGTTGAGACGGATCTATTTTAAAGAGAAATGCGGAGTGATTTATGAGCTCTGCTCCCGCGAAGATCATTAGGAAAGATGAAGGAGGAAGAAGGGGGGGTGCGGGGAGGGAAGGAGCCTGGAGGGGGAGAGAGAGAAAGAGGGAGGGAGGGAGAGAGAAGAGGAAGAGAGAGAGTCTTCGCTGGGGAAGGACGCTGGTGCGGGTCCGCTTTTTCTGTTTGCTTTAAAGTCCAGGTCCTCCGAACTGTCGCCGCGGGGCGAGGCCACTGCAGCTCCCGGAGCGGGCGGCGGAGCGCGCGGGGCGCTGGCGAGCCGGGCGCGGGGCTGCGGGCCGGGCGCTCGCGTCCCTCGGCGTGCGTGGCTCGGCCCGCGGGTCCCCGGCTCTGCGGCCCGCGCTGCGGCGGGGCTGCGGGATCGGACCCCGCGCTTTCATGGGGGGGGGGGCGCCGGGGCCGCGGCCTCCCGCGCCCGTCGAATGTCAACATTTGTTCCCAATAAAAGAGTTACTGTTTCTGCAAAGCTGCCCAGCAACTGCCTTTGAAACTTGAAAAGACCTTCGTCCACCTTTGTCTGACGCGAGGCTACGGAGAGGGCGGGGTGGGGTGGCGGAGGAAGGGCTGAGCCGGGCCGCGGGGTCGCCGCCGGCACCCACCCTCCAAGCCCGGGGCAGAGTTGGCAGCGGGCGGGAGCGGGGCCGCGGCACCTGCGGGCGCCGGCGGTGCGGCCAGGGCGGGAGCCCACGCGCCCTCCTGCCCGCCTGCGGTCGGGTCTGGGAAAACTGCATTCAGATCTTTCTTACAGAGGCTGGGCGTCAAGTGGGCCCTGAGTTTTTCTTTATCTTCACAAAATAAATGTGCCCTACACTTCCCATGCCAGTGTCCAGTAAACAGACATCAGTTTGGAAAAAAAAAATCATCCCGAAGAGATTTATTTGTCCGTCTGAGGCAGCCCTTTCAACTCTAAACATACCCTGGGTTATTAGGAAGTTTCCTCCGAGTAACACTGTGCAATGCTTGTCTAACAGATGATTCTTCCTTAGTGCCTTGAAAATCCCAAGGAAAGCATTTATTTTAACCCCAAACTAAGGATATAAGTAGAACTATGAAACAAGTGTTTTTACACAGCTTTTTACAAAAATAACACTTTCAGCATTTTAAAAATGTATTAACCTAAGAGGCAATCTTGGGAACAATACCAGTCTGTGATCTGCGGATATTATGATTAACATCATCGGAATTTCTACAAATCGCAAAGGAGACATGTCCCTTTGATGTATTTTCAAACCTTTATGTAAGTGACAAATCCCTACAGATATTTTAAAGGCTTATTATGAGAAGAAGTAATCTATGACAAT